ACATCAATGATGAGAGAGAATCATTGATCACTGCTTCCTGCATGCCCCTACTGGGGATCAAGCCCGCAACCCGGGCATGTGCCCTTGACTGGAATCTAATCCGGGACCCTTCAGTTGGCAGGCCAATACTCTATCCACTGAGCCAAACCAGCCAGGGCCAGAGCCTGTGTTTCAACAAAATCTCCAGGCCATTTGAGTGCATATTGAGTTTGAATAGCTCTGGACTGAGGCAAGCACATTACTTATCATTAAATCAAACACTAGTGATACATTGCTTTGGGGCTCAACTCTACAATCTAGGAACACACACATACAAAAATGAACAGGTAGCCTGCTGGATTGATTTAATCTCAGCCTGGAAATTAGTTCTGAGCACAGCTTTGTTTCCAGCCACATGTCAAAAGGGTGCCACTGCCTACTTAGGACATGGGATTGATATAGTAGGCAGTGGGACAGGCCTGAGCAGAGTAGGAATGATAGGCCAGGCATAGAAGATCACCAGAGCAGAAAGCCTCAGGGGCTTAGCAAAGGGTAAAACTGGGAGGACGAGTATTGTAGGGTGGTACCTTGCTGGGGGCAATGGTGACCTGTAATCTCTTGATCTCCATCCCCTCTCTTAGCATACCTCTGGTCAAGTGGCTTAGACTTTATGGCCTTTCCTATCACTGGTCATATGGTTCGGATCCTCCCCTGACCTTTCCTCCCCTGGCATGGGGTAGACTCCTTAGAGGAAGAAGAAGGAGGCCAGAGAATAGCCTCATATTATCTGTTCCCATACAAGCCCTTGCACGACCACTCCTTTAAGCATTAGCCGTAGAGATAACATCTAGGCCTCAGTTGTGTTTCAGCTCCAGGCCCAGAGCAGAGCAAGGCCAGCCTGGTGACAGGCGATGATACCTTGATCAGAGCCAGCTGCGATGACTAATGACCCCCTGGCTGGCACCAACCAATCAGTAGAGACCTGGAAAGCTGATGAATATTCTACTAGAATCCTCCTTTGAGACCTCCAGGTAACACCCCTGAAGACAAGTACTCAACACAAAGACTCTCTCTCTCTCCCCTCCCCCCTCCCCCTCTCTCTCCACACACACACACACACACACACACACACACACACACACACACCCCTGCTCCTTTCCCCCTCTCCTTCCCCCAGGTGCATATTCTTTGCTTTTCGTTCTCCTAAGCTGCAGAGGTCCTTCTTTAGCCTCTGGAACTTGTTTCCTCAGTCCACACAGTCTAGCTGGCTCCCTTCTTCTACCTCTGGGACTTTCTAAATAAACTTTTGAGTGTATTTGAGTCTTGGATCTGAATTCTTTCTTAGCCAGAACTCAAGGACCGAGGTCTAACATCTGGTGCCCTTAATGGGATGAGAGAATAGATAGTACTGGCCTGGGGGGCAAATAGCAAACTAGGGTGTAATCTCTTAAAAAAAAAAAATAATATATATATATATATATATATATATATATATATATATATATATACACATACACACACACACACACATATTAATTGATTTCAGAGAGAAAGAGAGATAGAAACATCAATGATGAGAGAGAATCATTGATTGGCTGCCTCCCACACTGGGGATTGAGCCCACAACCCAGGCATGTGCCCTGACCGGAATCAAACTGTGACCCCCTGGCTCATAGGTCAATGCTCAACCACTGAGCCATGTTGGCTGGCTAGGGTATAATCTCTTGATCTCCATTCCCCATCCTGTTTTATATATGCTTGTTTGTCTTCCAGCCCACCTAAGCAAGGAACTTTGTGAGGCAGAGGCCATGACTGGTTCCCTTTTGTGTCTCTGGCTCTGCACTGGGCCTGGAGAATAATAGTGCCTTATAATGCAAATGAGTGAGTGAAACAGAGTCTGCTTCTCTAGGAGGGAAACACACACAGGATATCCAGTTTCAGTTTCGGTAATGGTCTCTTAAAATGGGGAAACGGCCTGGGACACTCCTGTAGAAGTACCAGGGGTTGGAGAATGCTTGTTGGGCTGACCCTTTTTGCCAAATGAAACTCAGCTATATCCAAGGCAAGTTGATGAAAATTTGGAGGAAAGGAGGCGAAGGGAGACCCATATCACTGACTCAGTTCTAATTGTCACACTTAACCACTTTCAATAGCGATTGGCCTTCAATGCAAACCCCTGAGCATCCAGCCTGCTTTTCCAGGCCCTGCATGGAGGTCTTCAAATTGTTCAGATGGAGTTTGTTCCCTCTTGAAAGAAAAATGCTTCTGGAAGTGACTTGGTTCATGTGACCTATAAAGGAAATTTTTCCTGAGGTTGAGGCAGGCAGAAGGAATCAAGGAACTAAGTTCAAGGAAGTTGCTTGACCTGACTTTTTTTTTTTTTTTGACCTGACTTTTTATTTCCCCCTTGTGTCACTTCCCTTTTTCCCAAGGCCTCCTTATTTCTACCGGTCCTAACAGGACCTTTAACTTCTTGGAGAAAATCAAAGTGCAGAAAAGGATCTCAGTCTGTGAACTATTTTCTTTGAAAACTGTTGTTCTTGTTTGCTTAGAAATTGGAGGAAAACTTTTTACAGGTTAGAATGTTTCAGGTCAAAATTTTTTCTTTAGGAAACTCCAGGCTCCAGCCACCCAGCCAATGGCATGAAGGAAAGGAAGTAGATTTAAAAATTAAAAGAAAAGAAAGGAGTAGACGGTCAAGAAGGATTGAAGAGTAAGAAACTGGGGCTCACTTCAGTGCTTACGTGGGCCCAACTACCTTGAGATTTAGTCACATGATGAAATCCCCCTGAGGGTTGGGGTTCTGAAGGCAGAAAACTGAAGCCTAGAACGGCAAGATGCTGGGCCCAATGGATTGGATGGGAAGAGGTCCCTTTTTGCCATGTCCTGGAAGGTAACACCTCTACACAAAAGCTGATCACCAAGGCCAAGAAAGAGTGGACTGCGTCTCCAACCCTGTAGCACAGAACTGGAGTGAGGGTGATGGGCAACTCAGCACAGATTCAACACCATTACAGGGGGAAAAGAGGCCCATGTGACTGAGAAGCACTAAGGACATGGTTCTAAAACTGGGAGTCAAATTTCAAGCTTTTGCTCTCTTGTGTGTTTTTTTTAAATGTTGCTGGCTAATTTGCATATTACCGCTTTATTTATATTTATATATTTATATATATATATATATATATATATATATATATATAGAGAGAGAGAGAGAGAGAGAGAGAGAGAGAGAGAGAGAGAGAGAGATTTTATTGATTTCAGAGAGGGAGAGATAGAAACATCAATGAAGAGAGAGAATCATTGATTAGCTGCCTCCTACACACCCCCTACTGGGAATGGAGCCCACAACCTGGGCAGGTGCCCTCAAATGGAATAAAAAACGGGACCCTTCAGTCTGCAGGCTGACACTCTACCCACTAAGCCAAACAGTCTAGGGCCAACCTTTGTTGTTTTGGCTATCCCTCCCTCTTCCCCTCCCGCTACTTCTACTTATCAGCTGAACCTAATCGACATTCATGTGTTACATCATACGACACTTGTGTTCAGGTGCTCTGGGATGAACAAGGAATTTCAGTGATGGGCTTGGAGCATTTTGAAAGAAGTCAAGACTGGTAGAGGGATCACCAGTGCTCAGCTCCAGATGACTAAGGCTGCTTTGACCAATCAGTACAGTCTACAATAATGCTTTTTAAAAATATATGTTATTGATTTCAGAGGGAGAGAGAGATAGAAACATTAATGATGAGAGGACCATTGATCGGCTGCCTCCTACATATCCTGTACTGGGGATTGAGCCCATAACCCAGGCATGTGCTCTGACTGGGAATCGAACTGTGACCTCCTATTTCACAGGCTGATGCTTAACCACTGAGCCACTCCTGCTGGGCTACAATAATACTCTTTATATATGAAAGACCCTCTAAGTATTGGCTCATTTTTGGTCTGAGAGGAAGGTGATCATCATATTCACTTGAGTTTGACATCATTTGTGGATCAGGAAAGAGATAATATTAATGGTAATGCTTTTTGAGGTGTAAGCCAAAGCCCATGAATTGTATTTATACACTGTTCTGCACCTTATGCCATAAACTTTCCTTTACTCCTTTTCTACCAAGGCAAGACATGCATTTTAGGGATGAAAACATTGAGATTCAGAGCATCTCAACCCAAATTTCACAAGTTATTGATTTCTTGTGAGATCTGCCTCTGTAGAACCATTCTGAATTAGTAGACCAATTGAGCTGATTGGATTTTCAAGCCTTTATTATCACTTTTATACCACAACTGGTAAAAAATAGGCTTAGAGATGGAATGTGTTTAAAAAATGTTAACTACCTGAAAACAAGATGTATTAAAGTTAACCACCTGTGCCCTTGCAAGGTGACCCTGGAGAAGATCTCTCTGGACTTGTTTCTTCCCATGTGAAATACAATGGTTGTACTTTGATTTAGCACTATGTGCCTGGCACTGTGCTGTGCTTTTTATGTGGATTGATTGTCTTGTGTAAGCTACACAACAGCCCAGTTTATAAATGCGGAAACAAAGGCTCAGAGGTGGGGACCTGTTAACAAACGTTAGTGCAGTCTCATTCCTGAGCCCAGGTCCTTAGGAACTTCTAGTACTATAGGTGAGGTATTTTCCAGCTCTAGAAAATGACAGTTCAGCATATGCCTCTTGGCCAAAATAATTTCCTAAAGTGGAAGGGTCCTGGAATAATTTAAACCAAAAGGATAAAAGTAAATGACAATGGAGAGCCTTCCAGCTGTAAGCCAAGCAGCTTGCCCCCCATCCCCCAAGCCTATCTCCTATCATCTTGCAATCTTGCAACAGCATCCCCTCCCACACACAGCGGGCCAGGGCTGCCTGCAAAGCTGGTGCATAACTGTGAGAAGCTGCTCTCTGAAAGGGTTCCATGGCTGGCTGTGGTGAGTGCTCCCACACATCTCTCCACCTCCACCTGAGGACTGAATGACTCTCAGAATAGGAGTCCCGGGGCAGCCCAAAGAAAACGATCAGGGTAATTCTGTTTGTAAACATCTGTTTAATAAATATACATCTTAGAAATAGCAAAATAATTACCAACAAAATACACTATTTACACCATTTACAGGAGGGTAACACAAACCTTGACAGGTAGCACCACACCACTGAAAGGTTTAACCCCACACCACTGAAAGGTTTAACAACACACCTCATTGTTACAAGTCACAGGGCACGGCTGGGCTTCACTCAAAAAGGACAATAAATAAAATGCAGTCCTTTCATCAGATTTTGGATAACCTCAAAAAACTCCCGCAATGGTGAGTTTTAAAAGAGGTTTTCTTTGAAATCCAATGATCTTTCTTGTTCCCTTCCGAAGTTCATAAAAATAACAAAATGAGGGCTGATCCACCACAAATGTTTTGGGCCAGGCAGTGTGCAGTGTGGTTATAAGTACACCCTTTTGATTTCTTTTTTTCTTTTCTTTTTTTTTTTTTTAGAAAAATAAAACTCTGTTTTTGTACAAATATACAAGTCCATGTTCTTTCAGATGCTTTGTGAAGCTCATAACGTCAGGCGCTGGCCTCCAAGCACACAGTCATCGTAGGGCAGCTAAAAACAAGAGGAAATAAGGCATGTTAAACTCCCAGAGCTTTGCCAGGGGTGCTGGGGTAATGGGGAGAGAGCTGCTACTGGAAATAACCTAAGTATTTGTAGATTTCATTCTCTATATCCCAAATATAGATGAACGGGCCGAGGGAGTTTTGTTTTGATGCTCCTCTCCTTAAAAGCAAAGAAGAAAAGACATACTCTTGGGATACTGGCTCTATACCAGTGATGGCGAACCTTTTGAGCTCGGCGTGTCAGATGTTTGAAAAACCCTAACTTAACTCTGGTGCTGTGTCACATATAGACATTTTTTGATATTTGCAACCATAGTAAAACAAAGACTTATATTTTTGATATTTAATTTATATATTTAAATGCCATTTAACAAAGAAAAATCAACTAAAAAAATGAGTTCGCGTGTCAGAGGTTCGCCATCACTGCTCTATACACTAAAGTTGGAGAACTTCATTATGTGATACCTTTGGATGAAGAGTATAGCTCTAGGGGCTGGGGAGGGTGGAGGGAGAATGGCCACTCTAATTGGGTTTTTTTTGCAGAGCATAATTGAGACTCACCTCGTCCTCTGTGAACTCCGACTCTGTGTCATAGCTCTCCTCATCCTCACTCTCTGGCAGCATCTGAAGGTTTTCTAGGGTCAGCTGGCCCAGCTGCTGCTGTATCCGGGTGCTTGGGCGGCCCCAGGTGAGCTGGTACGGGGAGTAGCCCTGGTAGGTGACTCTGTTGACGTCAGCCCCACACTTCAACAGGAGAGACACCAGGTCGGGATTCTGCAGATCCACCGCAAGATGAAGGGCCGTTCGGCCATTACAGGGCTCCTGAAACCAAAAGGAATGAGATATTTACAGTTGAGTTTAGAATTTTCGCTTGTGAAAAAGCACATGAAATCTTAGTGAGGAGGGCCCTGAGCCCCCTGCACTCCATTGGGAGGCATGACGCACTCACCTGGGCATTGACATCAGCGCCCAAGGACACCAAACGCTCCACGATGCCCAGGTAGCCATGGATGGAGGCTAAGTGCAGACATGTGTGGCCTAGAAGAACAAAAGGAAGAAAATATAAACACTTCGTCTCACCCCTCCCATCTCAAGCAGAATCTTTCACCTACTCTTTAAAGGGACAAATTCTTCTCAAGAATCTGGTTTCTGAATGAATTTTATAAAGGCATCCAACAGGCCTTTTGTATACACATTTTCTCAGCCTTTCTCATGCTGAGAGTTTAAGCTCTTGCCTGGAATCCTTATGTTGGCCCACCTCCCCCTTCTCCTGGTCACCTGCCTTCTGGTGGGCAGGGCAGGCAGACGTACCATTGTAGTTTGTGGCCTGCAGGATGGCCTGGAGGTGCTGGGTCCCACAGCTCTGAGTCAGGACTCCCACACTGGCCAGGCTGCCCTGCTCACAGGCAAGGTGTAGGGGGGTATTTCCTCGAAAGTCTCGCAGCTCAGGATCACAGCCAGCTTCCAGAAGTGCCTGGGCGATTTCTGGCTGGTTGGTGATCACAGCCAAGTGGAGCGGAGTCTACAGACAGAAGAGGGAACAGAGGATAAATTATGGATCAACCCCACAGTCTGAGTTCCCTTCAACCCCAGAGATCCCCCAGGTTGTGGGTGCTGCACCCTCCCACCCCTGGTGCAAGGGGCAAGGCAAATACCAGAGGCCCCCCAGTGGTCTTCATAAAGGTCTCACCAAATTAATGGAATTTACTTGAATGTTGGCAGATTGGAATGTAAAAGGTCAGGTCAAATAATGACCATTGACTTGCAGTGGTTCTCAACCTTCCTAATGCCGCGACCCTTTAATACAGTTCCTCATGTTGTGGTGACCCCCAACCATAAAATTATTTTCGTTGCTACTTCATAACTGTAATTTTGCTACTGTTATGAATCGTCATGTAAATATCTGATATGCAAGATGTACTTTCAGGGGTTGCGACCCAAAGGTTGAGAACCGCTGGAAAGGACCAGGAGTAGCTGTGCTAGATCCCCGGGTCAGAGAGGCCGGGGCCGGGCAAGAGGCGCACCTGCTGCAGGTTGTTCTGGAAGTTAAGAAAGGCCAGGTCTCCCTTCACTTGGCGGACCACTTCCATCGTCAGCGCCTTCTCTTCATGGATGATGGCCAAGTGCAGGAACCTGAGGGAAGAGGGAAAAACCCCAGGGTGAGTACAATGCGTGGGGCCAGGGAGGCGCGGGCTGCGGGGGATTGCGCAAGGCCGGGGTTTCTGGAGGCCGAGGCCGCGGTGTTTTCCGCGAGGTTATTATGAGCTGAGTGTTCCTGGCAGGCGCCCAGGGACTTTCCGGGCTCCCCCCCCCTCCCCGGAGGGCGCCGACCAGACCGCCCCGCCCTCCGCCGGCCGGAACGCCCTGTACTTCCCCTCCCGGCCGCGCGGCGCCCGCCAGCCGGGCAGAAACGCCCGCCCCCCGCCGGCCCGTACTCCGTGTCCCCGCCGCGCCCCGCCCCCGGCCCCGAGGCCCCGGACGGGGGTGCGGGGTGTGCGCGGCTGCAAGGCCGAGCGGTGGAACCGCGGCCCCGCGCGAACCTCGGCCCCCGGCCCCCACGCGCCCTGCAGGGTCTCGGGTCGCTGCCTGCACCCGGGGTCGCTGCGTGCACCCGGGCTCGCGGCCGCCTCGCGGGCCCCGCGCTCCGCTGCAGGCGGCGCCCCGTCCCCCGGCCCCGCGCCGCGGCCCGGGCACTTACGAGTCTCCGTCCTCCGTGAGCTGCTGCTTCCAGGGCTCGGAGCTGCGCGGCGCTTCCTGCGGCTCCAGGCGGATCTCGCGCAGCTCCTTCACCATCTGCTCGTACTCCTCGTCCTTCATGGAGTCCAGGCCGCTGTCGTGGCGGTCGTCCAGCGGCCGCTCCTTCTTGAGCCCGTCCCGGGGGCCCTCCATGGCCCAGTCCTGGGCGCGCTCGGCGGGGTGAAACATGGGTACGGTTCGGGCGCGGCTCCGGGTGCGCTCGGCGCGGGCTGCGCGGTGGCTTCTCGCAGAGTCACAGGCGGGGGGACCGCGGCTCGGATGTTGTGGGCTCGGCAGCGCCGCCGCGGCGCCTTATAAACGCTGGCAGGGGATTTCTTCGGGGCGGGGCCGGGCGCGGGGAATTTCCAAGCCAGTCAGACCTGAAAAGAGAACTGCTTGGTCTCCTGCTAGGGAAAAGCAGTTTAAACCCGGAGCAGGGGTTCAGCAGAGAAACTCCCAGCGGCGATGAGGCACTGGGGTCATGTACAGGGAACTTTTTGATGAAAGCCGAGTGGCTGGAAAGTCCTCCCGACCGGGCCCCCTCCCCCGGTACTTCCCTGCAGCCTGCAACCCGTCCCTCGGCTGCAGACCTGTCCCCGGGGTTTCCCACGATGGATGGGATCTGGGGTCGTCGGCTGTAGAGATCCCAAGGACGCGGACTCGCTGGAGACGGTTCCTCGTTAGGGTTTGCCGACCTGCCGGTCCTTTCCGGCTTTTGACCTTTGGAAAACGCGAGTGGAAACGATGGCCCGGTGTAGGGATTCGTTTCCCCAAACTTCTCTGCGAGGAAGGACGCGCTGGCGGCGGAAGGCTGCCCGGCACTCCTGCCGTGCAGCGACGTGCCGCACCCCCAGCCCCCTCCTCAGGGAGAGGTTGTGAAAGTTTTGGCGTTAAACACCCAAGTGCCTGGCGAAGCCTCAGATCATTTCCTCGGGATTAACAACCCTGCTGACTGGGGCAGGGGCCAGCACTCAGCTCCTATTCGGGGTGGGGGAGGGGGAGGAATGTTGAATGTAAACATAATATTTTTGTCAAGTGGGGCCAGGTGTTAATTTTTGTAATGGAGGTTGTAGACACCTTGCAATAACGAAATGGTTATTGAGGCCGCGTTCTCTGATTGGCACTATGCTGCTGCAGAGAATGCATTCTGGGCCTACCTCTGGGTGCCCCTCTGGGCGACTTTCCAGAAGCATTTGGAGGAGGCTGAAGAATGGGTTGAGAGTACCTTACCCAAGGTTGGACCTTAAGGATGGCTCAGAAAATAGCTGCTAGGCATACGGCAGGAAGCTAAAGGCAGCCCTAACATTGCCCCCATCCTGCCCCTCATGGCTCCTTGCTATGCAGTCCTGGGGGGTAGGGGTAGCAGTTGGACATAACCATGCAATGTGGGTAGTCACTCTAGGCTCACCATCCTCTGGTTTCACTTGCAGGAATAGAATTTATGCCCCTCTTTGCACCCCAACCTCCTAGCCAACAATTGGTCCAGGCAAAACAAAGCAACTTCTGTCAGAGTTCTTCAGAATTAGCCCCAGGAGGCCTCTATAGTTTTGTAGAGTTTTCTGGCATTTGTTGCAATCATCTTTAACTTGACTGGCCAGGTACTAACCAACCTTTCTCCTCTTCCAATCTCCCCCTTCTCACCTCCAGTATCTGAATGTAGGAAATCTGGGTCAGTTGGGGGACTGACAAAACATGAGGGGGGAAAAAGCAAAATCAAGAACTAAAACCTCAGAGTAGTAATGATCGCATGCTAAAATGAAAATTTCCCATTGGATTCCATTGTCTCTGCAGGCATGTGATATACAAATACACAATTTTCGAGGCAAGGTGCAACAGTGACTATAAGTAGACCTTAATTCCAGGCTCTACTTCTAATTAACTGCATAAATATGTATATTTAAAATATGTTTTTATTGCTTTTTAGAGAAGAAGGGAGAGGGAGAGAGAGAATGAGAAAGAAACCTTGTTCATATGCATCCCAACCAGGGATCAAACCTGCACCTTGGGTATGTACCCTGACAGGAATCAAACCTATGATGTTTTGATGCACGGGACAATGCTCAACTGACTAAATCACACGGGTGGGCCAGGGCTAATTAACTGCATATTAATTGGAAAGATCAGTTAACTTTGCTGTGGTATGCCTGCTTTTATAATACTAGCGGCCCGGTGCACAAAATTTGTGCACTGGAGGGGGGGGATCCCCTCAGCCCTGCCTACACCCTCTTGCAGTCCAGGATCCCTCTCACAGTTCGGGATGCCTCACTCCTTACTGCCCGTCTGCTTGCTATTCCTTAGTGCAGGGGTCCTCAAACTACGGCCCGCAGGCCACATGCAAATACAAATATTGTATTTGTTCCCGTTTTGGTTTTTTACTTCAAAATAAGATATGTGCAGTGTGCATAGGAATTTGTTCATAGTTTTTTTTTAAACTATAGTCCGGCCCTCCAACGGTCTGAGGGACAGTGAACTGGCCCCCTGTTTAAAAAGTTTGAGGACCCCTGCCTTAGTGCTTGGCTCACTGCTCCTTAGTGCTGCTGAGGAGGCGGGAGAGGCTCCTGCCACCGCTGCTGCACTTGCCAGCCATGAGCCTGGCTTCTGGCTGAGCGGCGCTCCCCCGTGGGAGCACACTGACCACCAGGGGGCAGCTCCTGCGTTGAGCGTCTGCCCGCTGGTGGTCAGTGCACATCATAGTGACCAGTCATTCTGGTCGTTCCGCTTAACGGTCGCTTAGGCTTTTATTATATAGAAGATTGGATTTCGCCCTGCCAGTTTGCTCAGTGGTTATAGCGTCAGCCCATGCCCAGGTTCGATTCCCATTGAGGGCATGTACCTCAGTTGCAGGCTGGATCCCTAGCTCTGGTTGGGGTGCATGCGGGAGGCAACCAGTTGATGTGTCTCTCTCACATCTATGTTTCTCTCTCTGTCTGTCTCTCCCCCTCCCTTCCACTCTCTCTAAAAATCAATGGAAAAATATCCTCCAGTGAGGATTAACCAAAAAAAAAAAAAAGATTGGATTTAACGCTGGTTAGGTTTTTTTGTTTGTTTGTTTTTACCAGCTTAAAAATTGTGTTACTTGGCCACAAATGCATGTATAATTCTGCGTAAGGGTGACCGTGTCTCTTGGAAATTCACAATGTAAATTTTTGGAAGGATTCCCAGCAGTTTATGTAACACATTGTTCTCAGAACTAATCTTGTAAGATAGGTATTGTCCTTACTTTCCTAAAAAGAAATTGAAATTCAGAAAAATTTACCTACGTGCCCTGTGGCAGTTTACCTAATTTATATCCCAGCATATTAATCATTTGGCCAAAGCAGTATTAACAGTTTTGAAAACACATTTTGAAAATGAGACTGAATATACTATAATTTGGAAAATACTCTAAGTATTTTCTACTCAATTGTTAGATAAAATAGAGGGTGGTAGATTCATGTCTGTAAAAAAAGTACAGAAATGTCAAACTCTAAATGCCACTAATAAAGGATACCATAGAAGAGAACTTTTAGCTGCAGGTTTAAAATTAATATTAAAAAGAAAATCATGCATAAATAAAAAGTATCTCAGGATGAAGTAATTTTGCACCTCCTTTGATAAAGGCTTTATGTTCACAGCCGAGGCCTGCAGGACCTGGTGGTCTTGGTTCCTGATTGCTTAGTGTGACACCTAGTGGTAAGAGTGAGGCCCGGCCTTCCCTGATTTGTCATAGCACTTATGGAAATTTCGGGAGGTGCTGAGTCTTGATGACCTGTCCCTATCGTGGGGATTCCCAAGGAGGTACCTTCTGTTTTTCTGTAACCTAGGAGACAGTTTTGAATAATGTGATCCAGCAAGTTTCCTCTCTATCCTATATAGCTCTATAGGGTTTAAATCAACAAACATTACAACTTGGGCAATAAAGAACATATTTGGAAATCAGAAAACATGAGCAGAAGAAGATGGCAAAACTGATTTTGGTTTAGAAAGACCTTGATGGACTCTAGGGTGCGTAGAGTTCTCCCCACCTATTGTTAAACGTTTTCACTAATCTTGACCATTTTAAAGATGGTAAGCCTTAGGTAACTCTTTCAATGTCATTTGGCTCTTTCTTTTTCTTTTTAATGCGAAAGGCAAAAGAATGAATAAGTTAACCTGGAAGCTGCTTTGTATTTCAGAACGCAGCCATAGGGAATGGCAGGGTGGCCAGTGGTGCTTCACTGAGGGCGGGAGCACGCTGCCCCTCCCCCAGCCGTGGGAAAAGGAGCATCATCAGGGCCTGGTGTGGCTTCATGCACTGTTCCTTGGTGGGAAATGCAAAGTGTGAATCAAACCTACTGCTGAAGTGCCCAGTGCCTGGCAGCATGGAGATTTTTCTTTAATTTCAGCCAAGTAGTCCAACATTTGGCCTTTCTTCACATCCTGGGCAGCGTGTCCTGTGTCGGTTGACCTGGCCAATTAAACCAAAATTGTTTTAGCCCCAGGAAATTGAGTACAGCCCGGCTGGCCGAGAGAGGAACCATGAGAGAGTCCTGAAGACCAAGAGAGGCAGGCCCACTGCTGACGGACAGCCCTGCAGTGAAATTCTGGATTTATATTCTGCTTCCAACCCCAGGCTCAATCTTCTTTCCGCCTGTTGTGTTTAGCAACCACTTCCATCCATCGCCCTCAGAACCTGGAGCTCCCAAGCTCTGGATTTCCCCACACAGAGACCACTGTCAGGACCCTCATTCTCAGTGACCTGAAAATAAGGCTGTCAGAGCTTTTATGTATTTCTTTTGCTCTACATTCTGCAATTTATTATTATTTTTTTGTTAGTCCTCACATGAGGATATTTTGTTTTCATTGATTTTCAGATAGAGTGGAAAGGAGGGAGAGAGACAGAGAGTGAGACTCGATATGAGAGAGGCACATCGATTGGTTACCTCCTGGGTGGGGATTGAGCCTGCCACTGAGTTATGTGCCCTTGACAGAAATCGAACCCGAGACCCTTCAGTCCATAGACTGACGCTCTAACCACTGTGCAACTGGCTAGGTCTATACCTTCTGCAATTTAGTAAGGATCAACACTTTAAAGAGTATCAAATCAGCCCTGGCTGGTTTGGCTCAGTGGATGGAGTGTCGGCCTTTGGACTGAAGGGTCCCGGGTTTGATACCAGTTAAAGGCACATGCTGGGGTTGCGGTCCCTAGTGGGGGGTGTGCAGGAGGCAGCTGATCAATGATTCTCATCGTTGATATTTCTATCTCTCTCTCCCTCTCCATTCCTCTCTGAAGTCAATAAAAAAAAGTATCAAATCAAACTCCAGTACCTGCCACAGGGGCCA